TTTATTATCCCTCCAGCAAATCCCCTCATGAGCTTAATTTTAGTTTGGTTTTTATCATCTAAAACTAAAAATGTTCAAACATGAGATGGGAAAAGAAATTGGCCATTGTCTTGGAGGAATAAAGGAGAAATGTAGACTGAAATATTAACCAGATGATCTAGGGTCTAGAGTTGGGGACAGTTAATACATGGTAAAGGGTGTGATTCCAACAAAGTGATGGATTGTGGAAAGAAGATAATTGAAAACTAAGGCTGGGTAAATTTGAAAAATAGGGGGTGGGGAGATGAAAACAGGGAAGGGAGTCAGTGTATTGAAACTGTGGATAGCGTGTTGAAAGTAAAAACTTTTACCTAAAAATGATGTCTACTACCGCGGAGTAGTAAATTACTTAATGTGGCTTTTCTACCCATAAGTCTGTAAACTCCAAGGTGGGATTTGCTATGAGCAACTGAGGAGCTCCTGATTGCTAAAGTTGTCCACCTGGAGTATTTCTGTTGGGAGTGGCACAAAACAATGTTCTGGGAGGTTCCCACTCTCTCTCAGGTGCTTAGAGTTCTGATGCTATGATTGGCTAGTTTGACCACTCTGCCGGGCTCAAAAGGAGGCCTCCTAGAGGCAGAACTCTCTCTGACTGCTGCTGAGGAAGGAGGCACTCCTGCGAGAGACGTGCTGCTGAAAGAGACACATGCTGCTAAAAGAGACACGCGTTGCTGGGAGAGACTCAAGAGACACGCAGTGCTGAATGAGACACCGAGGGGCATGCACTGTTGGGAGAGAGACTTTTGGCTGTGAGATGGTGGGCTGGGAGAGAGACTGAGTGTGTTCCTGACTTGAATTGTAGCCTGGTGCTTCCCGAATAAACCCCATAATCTGTGAGTTCTGTGTGGCCAGGAAAGAGGTGGTGGTGCTTTGGGAGGAACAGTTGGTGAAAGGGCTAGAAGGAAGCAGCATGTCTGGCCTTGTAGTAATAGGCTTTGGGCTATTGATGGTGATTCTGCCTTCCTCTTGTGGGGTTCTAGGAGGTCAGAATATGTGGCCTCCTTGTCTTTTTAGCAACTACAAACAGGTTAGTAGAGTGCAAGACTAATGTTCTTTACAGTGTGGCCATTAAGCCGGTGGGTCTTAGTGGATGTTAAAAACAAGATATTGGTTTAGTTCTGTCCAACAAAGATCAAAATGTTGAACTTTATGTGCCAGCCATTGTGTGACGTGCTTCGTATCTGTCACCTTATTTAATGACACTAAAGACACCTCCACTGCTCATGCCAGCTGGTCCTGAAACTGTAGCACAGTCAGAGCTGGCACTTCCATTGTCAGAAGAGGGAAAACTTAATATGACTTTTACCCCACCCTGGCATACCTTGAGATTGGGTATACTCTAGGCAAATCTTAAAGTCTCCTAAAATTTCAGAAGCTGCAAGCAACCCAAGTGAAACAAGAATGGCCATGACCACTTTTTCATGTTTGAAGTAAGTGCGTTTTTAATAACTTGTTCTTGGTTACAACTCCCTCTGTAGCAATTTTGTTACTCAAGGGTCTATATAGTTAATTAAACCAAATATTTCATAGCACATTTCCAAACCAATAAATCCTTCACATTAGAAAAAAATAAAAGTTACCACCAAGGTATGCTAACCATTAATTGAAAGGCTTTCCCATCTTTAAGTAGCAGGTAGTTAACTTCACAGATAGGTACAAAGAGCAGCCAGCAACAGAATAGCAATATTGGAGAATACTTTCTTTGTTGAAATGCCCACAGGTATGAGATGTGACAGTAAAGTAAAGAGGCTGTACCATAAACCAAAATGGTGACTGATCTCATTATTTTATAGCCATAGTTTGTGGTATGTTTATAAAATATTTCTTTCATAAGTTAAACAGTATCTTCTACAGATGGGCTTAATTTTGGAATAATCAACTAATAATCAACTAATAAAAGTTCTGTTAATTCAACATTTTGTTGTAAAGATTCTACAAACACAAAAGTCAAAATTCCAAATTATGATCCCCACAGTAACTGTAACTCTGCTATACAACATACATAATGGAAAAAACGTTATCAATATATACCATAGTAGAAAATACTCAGTAAGCAGAAATGAGCTGAGTTATGCTTGCTGTGGGAATCATCATTTTCAACTAGCTGCGGATATATAAAAATTGAAACCATAAATGCATGCATTATTTTTTTGTATTTAATTCTAATTTTTCTTGATTCAAATTAATCAGCTTTGCATCCAAACTGCACATCCTGTTCATAACTGAAAGTGAACGTGTTTTATAATTTTGAAATCACATCATTTGGTTTCTCAGGCAAGCTGCTTTCATAGGATGGCATCATTATACCCTGTCCCTCCCCCAATGTCAGGACATGTCTGCTGGGATCCATTTATCTATATTTCTTTTTTCTCTGAAGGACACAGTGGGGGAGGAGAAAAAGAATGCCAGAGAGAGTTAAGAATCACATTGAATAGCTTAGAAAGGTAAATAAGTACAACAAAAAGAGGGATACTGTCTCTATTATCTTCCCCACGGTGTCTTCCTGAACAGAAAGAGAACAATAATGCCACCATATATTTACAATTTCCAAAGTATTTAATCATAACATTATCTCATCTCTCGACAATACTGTCAGAAGGGAAAAACCTTTCCATTGTTCAGCTCTTTATGTTTCAAGTGAAATTTATTAAAGATGTGCTTTTATGTTATCATTTAAAGCCTGGACCATTTAATTGTACTTAAAGTATTTCCTAAATATACTCATCACATGCAGAGGATTTACTTACTACTGAAGGCAGAATATACCTTAGGCAAAAATATTATGGTTATGAGCCAAACATTTAACATATTTTAAGCTTTCTGCTTTAACTATATTCTGAAAATTCAATAATGAAACAGAGAGAAATAACTGCCCTTTGAAATACTGCCTGGGCAAAATTAATCCTATATAATATATCCAGCATTACTTTTCCCAGCTTGGTTTTACCTAAGAAGGGTGCCTTCAACAACCTCTGATGAGGAATTCTTTTACTTTCCAGCAGTCTTCACCATCAGGATGTTTCATTATGTTCAAACTAAATTACTTTGGCTTGAGAACAATCAGACTTCCTTTGCCACTCTCAGTATCTTTGCCCCACCATGATGTTCATAACTTTGTGTGCTTGGAGGAAGTCATGTTAAATCTTTTTGTCTCTTAGCTGTACAGTGATCAGGCTATTCAAATTTAAGGTCCTCCGTCATTTTCTATGCACAAAACCATCTTTCCCTATATAATTAAAACATTTCCTTCTTCATTTATATACTATACCAATAAACATATCAATTAAAGATTCAGAGCTAGCAAAAGCCTCTTTTATTTGTTTTAACTTAGGAAATAGCATAGTTAATCTTCTACCTGGGAAAGTATGACTAATTTGTATGCAACTAATGGGTAATATATTAAGTGCTAAAAGAAAAACCATTACTAAGTAGTTTTAATTTAGGAGGTTTCATTGTAGAAGAAGGAATGTCTTCTCAGTGTTAATAATAGTTATAAAAGAGATCTTAGCAATAAATAAAGGTTAACACATAAGTTCCTGAATAAAACATGTAAAGGTAGCCCCTGAGACATCAATACTGACCTTTCAGATTTTTGCCCTTTCATATGCAAAGTTTTGAAAAGAAAGAACAACATCAGGGTTGATCTCAAAGCACAAACTCTATATTATTTCCAGCTATCAGAAAGATGCAAAGATGGCTGGTAGGCTAAAATATTCAGAGATGGGGACATCAGCCCTTGCCTCTTGTCAAAGACAACAAGGAGGCATAATTCACTGGTCAAATATGAAGGCAGGGCTGTAAAGGTTAAATTTTCCAGGCAAGTCAATCACGCTACAGGGTTAAAGTGTAGATCCAGCCAGTTGGCAAGGTTTACCTTAAACAGAATGAAATACAATTGCTTTTGACTGTCTTTTTCAAGGTAGCAACTGTAGAAGTGACTAATTTTAGAGAATCATGCTTAGAAAAGAAAAATAATGAGGTTTGTTTCTATTGAGCAGTCAATATTTCAAATTCCAAAATGTCTTAAATTTTCCAGATAAACTGACAGCAAAAAAGGTCTTGGAGACTGTCAGTATCATAGCTCAAAACCAAAAAACCAAACTCGCTGTCGTTAAGTCAATCCCTACTCATAGCAACCCCTGCTTGGGTTTCCGAGGCAGCATCACTATGGAAGTAGATTGCCCCCTTCTTCCTTCCGAGGAGTGGCTTCTGGTTAGCAGTCAAATGCCTTAGGCACTACACCACCAGTGCTCCTCTACCATAGCTTAGAAAACTCGTTTTTCATATTTACTTATAATTAGAACTGCAGAATTCCTTAAGTGCCTGACAGTACAATAGTACACATTAAAAAATGAACTAAAGGAAAATACTGGGAAAAGTGGCTAACAGCAGAAGAGAGTTTAATGAACTACTGTACATTCACACAATGGATTCTATGGAGCTGTTAACAATGGGTTCCCGAAGAATAACTAAGGTGAAGGAAAAGGTTTATATATTGTAAAATGAAAAGCAATGTTTCAAAGTGGCATACTCCGTATGATCTGTGATTTTGGAAAAACAAACAAAAAGGCATAGAAAAAGGATTGAGAGGTCATATGTGAACATTAACAGAAGTTACCTCTACTAGTGAGAATATAATGTTTTCATTTTTTTTTCTTTTCTAACGAAAATAGGGTAAGGGTAAACCATTATTTTTAAAAAGAATCAACAAATATATGCTAATCTATTACCCCAACACACAATAAAAAACAGAAAATCAAAACATATTCAGTGCCATTAAAGCAATTAAACTACAATCTGATTATTCTTTAAGTTACAAAATCAATAGTTCACCCAAATTGAGTTTCCTTATACTTTTTGTCAATTCACACAAGGGCAATATATTAAAAAAACATACAGTGCCATATATTATTATAAAAGGCCACAGTTTTTTATGTAGTCTTCCTTATAAATCAATGAGTCTAGAAAATGAACTTCATATGCTTGATTCCATAAGTTTTGAAGAAAATCATGATAATGAGTGCCCACAATCCCAGAATAAAACCCCCAGGAGGATGCCAATCTTTCAGCTTCGGTTTCTGCAAAACAAGAATGACATAGTAAATTTAATAAGTATAAAAATTCAACAAGTAATAAAGCAAATACTGATGAAGTACAGAAATTTCACCAAGTGTATTTAAAGAGAAATAATAGTAATTTAGATGTTTACCTGTGTTTTATTGACTATTAAAGGCATTTGACTGTGTAGATCCTAACAAATTATGGGTAAGATTATGAGAATGGGATTTCTAGGACACTTAATTGTACACAGGAGGAACCCGTACATAGATTAAGAGGAAGTTGTTTGAACAGAAAAAGGGGGTACTGCAGGGTTTCAAATCAGGAAACATGTACGTCAGAGTTGTATCCTTTCATCATATTTATTCAATCTGTACACTGAGCAAATAATCTGAGAATTTGGACTACATGAAGAAGAACTTGGCATCAGGATTGGAGGAAGACTCATTAACAACCTGCAATATGCAGATGACAAAACCTTGCTTGTTAAAACTGAAGAAGACTTGAAGCACTTACTGGTGAAGATCAAAGACTACAGTCTTCAATATGGATTACACCTCAATGTAAAGAAAACAAAAATCCTCACAACTGGACCAATAGGAAAAACCCTGATGAGCAGAAAAGACTGAGATCACCAAGGATTTCATTTTCCTTGGATCCATAATCATTACTCACAGAAGCAGCAGTTGAGAAATCAAATGATGTATTGCTTTGGGCAAATCTGCTGCAAAAGACCTTTGTAAACTGTTAAAACGGTAACATGTCACTCTGAGGACTAAGGTATACATGACCCAAGCCATGGTGTTTTTAACTACCTCATATGCAAATCCAAGAGATTTGGAAGACAGCTACTTGGCCAACTGACCAGAAGAGATCCATACTTGTACCCATTCCAAAGAAAGGTGATCCCACAGAATGTGGAAATTATCAAGCAATATCATTAATACCACATACAAGTGAAATCTTACTGAAGATAATTCAAAAATGGTTGCAGCACTATATTGACACAGAGCTTCCTGAAATGCAAGTTGGATTCAGAAGAGAATGTGGAACGAGGGATATCATTGCTGATGTCAGATGGATCTTGGATGAAAGATATGAATACCAAAAAGATGTTTACTCATGTTCTATTGACTATGTTAAGGAACTCTATTGTGTGGATCATAACAAATTATAGATAACATTGAGAACAAAGGGAATTCCAAAACGCTTGATTATGCTCATCAGGAACCTGTACATAGACCAGGAGGCTTTCAAACAGAACAAAGGCATGGTTTAAAATCAGGAAGGGAGTGCATGAGGGTTGTAGCCTTTCACCATACGTATTCAATCTGTACACTGAGTAAATAATCCAAGAAGCTGGATTATATGATGAAGAATGTGCATCAGGATTGGAGGAAGACTCACGAACAACCTGCAATACACAGATGACACAACTTTGCTTGCTGTAAATGAGGATGACTTGAAGGACCTACTGATGAAGATTAAAGACTACAGTCTGCAGTATGTATTACACCTCAATATAAAGAAAACAAAAATCCTCACAACTGGTCCAATAAATGGATGGAGAAAACACTGAAGTTGTCAAGGACTTCATATTACTTGATTCTACAATCAATACCAATGGAAACAGCAGTCAAGACATCAGATGATGTATTGCATTGGGTAAATCTGCTGTAAAAGACCTCTTTCAAGTGCTGAAGAGCAAAGATGTCTCCTTGAAGACTAAGATCCACCTAACCCAAGCTATGGTATTTTTAATCACCTCTAATGCATGTGAGAGCTGGACAATGAATAAGAAAAGATCAAAGAAGAGTTGATGTTTTTAAGTTGTGGTGTTGGAGAAGAATGCTAAGAGTACCATGGATGGCTAAAAGGACTAACAAATCTGTCTGGAAGAGGTGCAGCCAGATGCTCCTTGGAAGCAAGAATGGTCAGACTTCGTCTCACCTACTTTGGTCACGTTGTCAGAAGGAACCATTCCCTGGAGAAGGATATCATCCTTGGTAAAGTGGAAGGTCAATGTAAAAGGGGAAGGCTCTCAACAAGATGGACTGACACAGTGGCTACAATGATGGGCTCAGGTACAGCAAAGATGGTAAGGCTGGCACAGGACGAGGCAGTGTTTTGTTCTGCTGAGCACAGGGTTGCTATGAGTCGGAGATGACATGATGGCACCTAACAATCACAACAAAACAACAACATGCATGAGAAAGCTGGACATGAATGAGAAAGACCAAAGAAGACTTGATACATTTCAATTATGCCACTGGAGAAGAATATTAATATACCATGGAGTGCCAGAAAAAAAAAAATCTATCTGGGAAGAAGTACAGCCAGTATGCTCTTTAAAAGAAAAGATGGCAGACTTCGTCTCATGTACTTGGACATGCTATCAGAAGAGACCAGTCCTTGGAGGACATAATGCTTGGTAAAGTAGAGGATCAGTGAAAAAGAGGAAGACCCTTAATGAGATGGATTGACAGAATGGCTGCAACAGTGGGCTAAAAATAGCAATGGTTTTAAGGGTGGTACAGGACCAAGTAGTGTTTTGTTTTATTGTATATACGGTTCATATGAGTTGGAACCCAGTCATTGGAATCTAACAACAACAGTTTAACCAAATTAAATATATTGGTATAACCAACAATGGTAAAGATTTCAAACAGAATAAATGTCCCAAAGTGGCTCTTTCAAAAGTCACTTTCAATTTACATTTTGCTTCCTCAAAGAGACCTACAACTATCTCTCCTCACCCAAGTTATTCAGTAGCTTAACAGTCTTTCTCATCTTACATTTTCATTAGTTTATTGGTTTTTCTCTTTCACTTGTTAGCTATATTTCCAAGAGGGCCTTTCTCCTAACTTGTTCATTGTTATATTCCTAGCACCTACAAGACATGTATTATACTGAGCAAATTAGTGGAAGAACAAATACTAATTCATTCATATATTCAACAAATATACCTGTTTTGTGCACAGTACCTTTGGTCACTTTACTACTCCCTTGAGGCAGAATACACCATTTCCCTTCTTGCCTCTTCAAAACTTACCCAACTCAAATACCCAACCCTCCAGATCTCACCAGAGATGATATAATCTCTTCTTTACATTTTCACAGTATTTGATTTATTACTCCTTGTACCGTTAGACCTATCTAGTATTGTAACTATCTTTATCCTTAGCTCCCTGTAAACTTCCTAGGGCAAAGTCTGTCTGAATCCATTTAATATTTCTTTCTCCATTCCTACCCCACAACATCCAGCCACGTGTCTTGTATGTTTCTTTTCCCAGTAAGAAAAGGCATACTAGTCCTCCTGCATTTAATTGTCATTTCAGCAGCTGCACTATGGTCCTGATATTGGAGGGTTATTATTATAATCGCATTATGAGCTTTGCTTAGTGCATTAGTGGCCATGATTGTAAGGATAGTTACGATACTTTGAGAATGATATTTTATAAAATAACAGAGTGAAGAAAAATTGTAAACTGATTTGTACTTTAATCATCATGTAAACTAGTTCCAAGAAACGTTCATACAACTATTAGAGGTATCCACATTTTACAGTTTGTTTTCCCTTACAGAGCCAGGACATCTAGTGCTTTTCCTCTTAGCTATTATTTGCTTTAAGCATATATGTGTAATTTTGAAAATTAAAATCAAAACATAAATCAGGGCATGGTGGGTATGGTTCAAAGAGTGTGGGATTTACAAAGGATTTGAAGTCAAGCCTTTGCTTCAATACAGGCTTCACAGGCCTATATTATTTGTACAAGTCACTTCTCCACTCTGAATTTCTGTAAAATAGGCATAGTAACACACACCTCTAAAAATGAATGAAAGCCCACTACTGCAAGGATGTGGTTTTTTTTTTTTAATTGTGACTTGGGTGAAAATTTACAGAGCAAATTCACTTTCCATACAGCAGTTCACATACACATTGTCTCATGACATTGACCACAATTTACCACAATGCAACAGCTTCCCTCCCACTTCCTCCCGATAGTTACCTCTTCCCTGTGTCCATCCCTCCATGCACTCCTGCCCCCTGAGCTGTCTCCCTGTGCATAAGCAGCCCTTCTT